TGGGTGACCTTAGGCCAATCACTCTTTCTCAGTCCTAGGAAGGAGGCAATGGCAAACCACTTTTGAAAATCTTGCCAAGAAAACTGCAGGGACTTGTCCAGGACTTATCAAGTCAGGAGTCAACACACACACACACACACACACACACAAGTCCAATTAAATTCAATAAGATGTACTCCCCAAAATGATGGGAAATGGATAAAAGGCAATGGCTAAGTAAACTACAGAATCTTATATTAGCTCTATGAAGCAGAGCAAAGAGTTGATTAAAACGCTGAAACTGCTCTAAAGCTCTGGTTTCACCTCCTTGTCCTTTTCCATCTGTGACAGGGAAGACCTCAAATTTCTTTTTCCTGGCAATGCTAAATTAATTCAGCATTGTTGGAGTCAAGCTGCTATCACAAGAGTAAATGGGGTCAATAGTTCATAAAATAAGAGAACCTTACCCTTTGTTTTTCTCTAAGTTAATATCTGGTGGAGGCACGAACCACTTGGGGCCAATTAGAAGCAAGAAACTGAGGAATGAGAAAAGGTTATGCCCTTCCTTTATCTATACTCTTCATGGATCCCATTCACCTTCTGGAAGCATTTTTGTTTCCTTCTTTGCTTAAACAGGTTGACAAAGTAAACATTTACACATAGTATCTACTCTGGTTCTCAGTCATCTGTCCACAAACACTTGTGGAATAAAAGATTTCTGTCCTACCCTCCCCAGTGTAATCCCATGTATACCAAAAACCTTTTCTGGAAATTCAAGGGCCTCTGGAAAATCTAGAATATAGTCTATAAAGTAGAAGTGGGTGGAGGCAGGAGGGGGACTTACAGTTGGGATTTGGCAAAAAGTTGGGCAGTTTCCTCAATCAGGCATGGGTTTTCAGGGGACACAGGACTGTAATATGGAAGAAAATGCATAAGTGATTTTGCATTTATGCAACTCTATGTTATTGAAAATAACGGTGCCCTTTGTAGTTAGATAAATGAGATAGTGAAAGACAAATAGAACCAAAAGTAGTAGCAATAGACAAAGGAAAATATATAGTGAAATACAGTAATTAAAAATTAATTTTGAAAAGTGCTCTGGAAAAAATCCAATATAAACTGAGGTGGGAAAGCCATATCCTACAGTGGCAGACATCAGTTTCACTCATCAGAGAGAAGACTATGTACACTTGCAGCCATTACCTTAGAAAGTTGGAACGTTTAGCAGCAAGAATGTCAGCAATGGAACAGCTGCTGCTTTGGCTAAAAGGCCATTGCAGAAATGTATATGGGGTTTACAATAAATAGCAGCTGATCAGTTCTTTTTCATTATGCTAAGCTTTTCTGATTAAAGTAAGACTTTCCAAATGCATTGGTCTTATTTTTATAGTTCCCAGAAATATTTTAATCTTCCCCTTAAATTAGGTTTACTGTTAATATAAATGGGTCAGTGGACACATTTTAAAATGTCTCTAATCTGAAGCAAAAATGCTTATGATTTGTCAGCTGATAACGGCATTAAGACATCTAGCTGCCCTCTTGCAGATACTTACAGAGAAAGAAGTATGAAGGAAGAACACAAATGCAGCCACATTAGAAAAAAACAAAGGCTTTGTATATCAATAATTACATGCAGAGTATGGATAGTTCTTGAAAGCATTGTCTGTTGGACACTTCTTCAGGAACAGAAGTCAAAATTTCTCTATGATTTGAATCACTGCTACAAGATTATCGGTGCTGAGAACTGATATATTGGTTTTCTCACATTGTTATTTCCTTAGAATAGTCCTAAGTATTTGAGTCCTTTGTAGCCTTTTAAGTCTTTGAAAATATCTTTTAATTTGAACTCCAACCCACTGTTGGCATAACTGAAAATCTGAGTAATTTCTCAGAAAACTCAGAATCATCACTCCAATGCATAAATCTTATGACTCCTCCCTTCAGCGATAATTTACCACCTGGCCTTAACCAGGATAACAGAAAACAATGTCTTTATAAATTACCATTGTTTTGATATTTCCCCCCATGAAATGTACTAGTTGGTCAGTCCTTTCATCTCCACTGCATCCTTTTTGGTGAGATAAACTAAGGAAGCAATAGAAAAGAAATACTATCTTAGATCACAATAAGCATGACCAAAAATAATTTACTTTAATTTGTAAATTAATTTGTAAATTAATTTACAAATAATTTACTTTATTTGTAACTGTTTTCCATTCTCTATATCTAGTGGAGGTACAAATACGATTAACATAGCTGCATTATAAAAAAGCTTGCTTTGTCATCAGAACTAATACATTTTTTATACTTCATAATGTTAGGATCTTTAAGTTGCCACAGGACTTTTTGCTTGTTTTAAAACTAAAGCAAAATACAGTGAATACACAGTAAAAGCATTTGTAAAGATCAGGTTAAAAAGACACACCCTCGAACTCAGTTAAAGTTTCTTTCAAGCACAGCTACAAAACATACCCTGGCTTGGGAGGAAAACATTATGGAACTACATGTACAGTAAATATAAGAACAAGGAAATATAGTCCTCAAACTGGCTAAATTGCATGTTATCGCAAATTGTATTTACAGTGCCTTTCACTGTAAAATATTCGAAGAGAGTCCCTTCTTTTCCTTTGGCAAATGGGCTTCGATCTACCTTCACTGACACACCCTTTGGTGGTGAATGTTGCCATAACAACCCATCGAAGGGGGAATAGCAGCTTGGCTGACACTTGTACTTTTAACTCAACAGGAGACCTGAACACCTTGCACAAATCAACCCGCAAGACGGTTGCCTCCCCAGAGAAAAGCATCAATCAGCTCAGAGAAGCCTCTTGCGGAGAGTGCACTAGTACCAGCCGCCGCGGCCCTCAAACGCAGCAGGCGCTCTACTCCTGCTAGCGTCTAGTAAGGGCCGCAGGAGGAGTTTTCTTTCTTCACCGCCCCCTCTTATCCTCCACCTCCAAAAGGGGGCGCTGCCGGCGGAGGCCTATTGGGTCTCGTTCAGTCTCTCTCTCTCCCTCTCTCTCCCTCTCTCCCAGCCTGGAGTCAGATTCGTGTCGGGCCTAGCTGGTTTCGGGAAGAGTGGGGACAGGCAGCCTTTGGCCAAGTCGGTGGCCATGGAGATCGGCACCGAGATCAGCCGGAAGATTCGGGTGAGAGACGCAGACCTCGGAGGGTTGGGGGGGCTGCAGGGGACGCCCCTCAAGGGGAAGGCGAGCGAAGGAAACTTGGAGCGGGATGAAGCGATTACCCCCTCCCCCCCCGTTCCTTTTTCGCCTTAACCCCCACTCGCTTCTCTTCATTTTCCCCCGCAACCAATGGCAGGGCTGAAAGTTGCTTTGTCCGAAACTGTTGCCGCGCGTTGGCTTCTTTTCGGGTGCTACTCCGAGGTGCAAGCTTCACCTTCCCTCCTCTCCGTTTCATCTCTAGAAATTGATGGGCGCCACAAGCTGCGTGCTGCTACAAGGACCTGCGGGACTTGTAGAGTGGGAATCTGTTGAAAAATGTCTACTTGTCTGTCATTTTTCTGCAGGTATCCTAAAGATGTGGCTGTTACTGTGTCTTGATACATATTCATCAGTTTTAATTTCATAACCTCCGCTCCTTATACGGCTAGTCGGTGTCTTTCTCAATAAACGTATCTATTCTCCCTCCCCGCCCAAATCTCTGGGCGCTCCTGTGGGTGACTTTGGGCCAGTCATTCTGTCTCAACTCAACCCACCTCACAAAGTGGTTGTGAGGAGGGAGCACTATGTATGCTATTTCGTTCTCCTGAATGAAAAATGGTATATAATCTAATAAATGAATATGCATCTTCTAAGAACTTTTTGACTTGCCAATTTGCTCAAAGAGAAGGGAATAAAGTAGCATGCAGCCCAGTCTTAAAGTCTGTTGGCTCAAATGTTGTGAATGTAATATGCACAGTTCTGATCACTGTGCTCCAAACCACATGTTCTCAAATTGGGGGAAAAAACTGCAGAAGAGGTGTTCCAGGTGATGAAAGTTCTGGAACAGCTGCCCTATAAGGAAACAATATTTGGGACTTTTTAAAGAAATAATTTTGATGATGAGATATACTAGTCTTTTTTCAGCAAAGACATAAAAAGTTTTTCAAACAATAGGATCACATTTTTGGAGTTGTTCTGTTATAACATTACTTTCAGGGCACTTTTCCCTTTGTTATTGATATGCTTAGTGATTTTGTAGTTGTGTGGATCCTTTAAAACTGCTATTTTTATTTTTGTGTACAAAAATGTATTTTATCAGTTTTTCTATATTGAAGTACTAAAAGGCAGACATACAAAAAGTTATTTATGGTGCAAGGAGAGTAATCAAAGAGTTTTTCTTTTTCTCATAATAGTAGCCTATGGTATCATTCACAGCCTTGAATAGTGAACAGTTCTGAACATATGAAAGTACTGTTTCACTTATCATGTAATGAAAATAAGCTATCACAAGAAGCAGTGGCACCTGTAAACTTGGAGAGTTTTGAAAGAGAATACTGTAGTCAAATTCATGGAGGAGAGGTAAAGATAATCAGTGGCCATTAGTCATGGTTGTGGCTGTGTACCTTTAATATCAGAAGCAATATGTCTGACAGTATCTTTGGTTGGGGAGCACAAGCAGGTGGGTGTTGTCTTGCTTGCTGGCTTTTTCAAGGCATCTGATTGGCCATCCATTGTGAGAACAGAATGTTTGACTAGGTGGGTTTGTGGTCTGATTCAGCACGGTTCTTAAGTTCATTAAATTAAATCTTGTGGAGCTCAAAGAGATTGACTTCATAGGAAGGTGCTCTTTGCTCTCAGCAGTTTGACTGGTCTTAAGCAAGAGTCTTTTCCTTCCCTTCCTAAATAATTTGGAGCTTTCTTCATATATTATTCTAGTGAACTTTTATTTGGTGTACAACTGAAGCCCATCTCACAAATTCTTTCAAATCCATAGGCACAAGGGATTGGGGTGCATGTGTTCATTCCTTCTGTTGTGCCAGCTTTGCCTTTTTACTTTTAAACCTCCTTATATTGCGCAAGGAAGTCTAAAGAGAGTTGTACTCATATTTACTTGAATGTGAATCCAGTTCTTCATTCTGCTGTATGCCAAGATGGCCATGTGTTCAAGCAGATGAAAGTGCAGTTCTTCAGGTTCCTGTGCTTGACAGGAAGTTTGAAAATGAAAAAGTGGGGAGGATGTAAGGCCTTGGTGCACTGCATGGTCCCCTGTATTCATATGCTTGTGATCCTCAATACTTGGAGGAGTACGTGAGGACTTACAGCTAGTTCTCGCTTAATGATCACAATTGGGACTGGAATCTCGATTGTTGAACGAAGCGGTCATTAAGCAAGATGCCCATGTGACTGCTTTGCTGAACAGCCACAATCCAGGCATTCCTGGTTGTGGTCATTAAGCAGTCTCCTGTATCATTAAGTGGATGGAGCAAAAGAGCTGCCTGCTGAAGGATTTCAGCTCCACAGAGTCCTGGCAGGCAGTCCTTTCACACTCAAACATTTCTGCAGCACGCTGAAGGGTTTCCTCTCCCCTCCATGCACGGAAGGGAAATCCTTCATGGAGCTGCAGGAATGGAGCTCAAATCTGGGGAAGCCGGCAAAGAAGATTGCAAATGGTGATCACACGATTGCAGGGTACTTGGCAACAGGTTGTAAATGTGAGCTGTTTGCAAGCATCCAAAATGCAGCCACGTGAGTGCAGGGGTGGGGCGGCAATGTTTTATGGTATCTGGAAGTGCTTTACGGGCCATAAAGCATCCTCTCTGAGGCTGTCATAACTTTGAACCATTGTTAAACGAACGGTCATTAAGTGAGGACTACCTGTAAGTGTGAATAGGACTATAGCTGTTCCAGATAAAAGAGCAACTGATAACAGTTTTCTAATTATTTTAATTTTTAAATTATGGATTGAAATACATCTTATGATTGATAGGACAGGTAAAATAATGAATTGTATTCATAAATGGCCTACTCGTTTAAAAACAAGCAGTACTTGTGCTATAATACTTTCAGAAGATTTTTTTTCTTCAAACTAACACAAGTTTTTGAAACTAAAAGCAAGTATGAGTGAAGTTTCTGTAACTACAGAATCGCAGACATATGTCATTAATAATACATATTCTACTTTTTATGGGCAGAAGAGTTTAGAAAAGATTTGAATAGATAGCAAATGTCTAAAAAAGTAAATCTACAAAATAGTCTCTTTATTTTAAAAAAAATGTAGATTAGAAATCCCCATGTATTCAGTACTGATTTGGAAAATAATTATGTTGATGCAAATGAAGCTATGTAGAAAAATAGTGAATGGATACATTTCTAGTCAAAGTAAAGCTTTTCATTTAGTCATATGCCACAATTTCTATCATAATGCTGTTGTGACAAGAAAAGCTCTATTTCATTTTCTCAAATTACCTAGCATAATTTTCTCTTCTATGCAATTCCTAAAGGTACTGAAATCCTTTCAGCATGGTTACTATAGTAACCTGAAGAGCAGGCTTCTTTGGCTTTGATTAGCTTTGTTGTTAAAGAACAAAATAGTCCATGTAGTGAAACCAGGTTTATTTGATCAGAAATGGCATACTTTTTTACATTTATTTTATACTAAGTGTACCTTAAAATATTGCTCCTATCAGCCAAATGAATTCCTACAAAGTTATCTTTTCCATTACTGTTTTTTCCCAGGTACCATGATATCTTAGTAGCTGCAGTAGGGGTATTTTATTATATCTCATTTACTCAACAAACCTGTTGAGTATGAACAATTAAAATGTTATCTAACAATAACTTTGCATGAACAGATAGTGTAGGATATGTTGCTTAATCAAGAAAGTGATTAATTAGCTCTTTATTTGTTTCTGCAGGAGTAACAATAACCTACCATTTCATCACAGTCCACAACTCCAAAAATGCATACTTCAGTCATACAGATCCCTCTGTTCTGCGTATAAAACAAATTATGAAAGCTGTTTGCTTGAAATTAACTTTATATCAAAGAGCTAACTGTTAGGATTGTGCAGGGCTTTGGACTTGATCTCCAAAAGGTGCTTCAGAGGATGTAGAAGCACAGCTGTACAACCATTTGGCAGTACCTTTAAGCAACCAAGCTGCACCTTTTCCTGAGATCGTACAATATAGCAGATAAATGCTATATTTTTGCTCCTGAATGTTCCTAAGCATAATTTGGCAATTGAATCTGAAGTGCTGAACAATCATAATAGAGAGCTAGATCTTGTGATTTTGTTTGATTTATTGATTTATTTAAAAGATTTCAGTGGGTGCCCATATTATATAAAATAACTCTAGGCAGCTAACAACAAACAGACAACAAGACAAAAAAATTTAAAACTCTGTCATAACATCAAGCACCATAACAGTCCCATCACAAAACCACATGTTCTAGGCTTACTTCCCCTCCTGACCCAGCATCTGGGGGGAAAGCCAGGTCTTAACAGCCTTCCATTGTTAATATAACCAATAGTATAACAATCAGAATAGCATCTGAAGGCATAATCTTGGGTAATTTTTCAAGCATTTAATTTAGGTAGGTGTGTTAAGTGTGTACAATAGCCTGTTTTAGGGATGGATTGTTTCTTTGTCAGGAAAAATAAGTAACAGTGCAATTCTTTGCATTATTACTTGAAAGAAACCCTACATGCAGACAGGTGAGATTTACTTTTATGTAAGGTAGGCAAGGAACACAATTAACTTCTCATTTTTAAATCATATAATCCCATGCTGGAGTTGTGTTTGCAGAACAGTTAAAGCATATATAATTAAACGGAGGTTTTATTTCTCCTAGGAATGTGATCTAAATCCTTGGATTATGTAGGCTATATGCTTTTAGTATTGCAGATTTATGTCTACATAAAACAGATTTTGGTTTGTCTTCTACATGAGCAAAGATCCTAAGCAAGACTCAGAATGGGTAATTATAATGATGTAGTTGTGTGCATACTTACTTGGTGATCAATCCCATTGGACAATGACTTCTGGGTAAGTATCCAGAATTTTCTAGAAGGGTACATAATACTACCCTTAGTATGATTTTAGTAGTTGCTTTTGGCTCTGTATTTGAAGACAAGAGGAAATAACTATAGGTTAGCACCCCTTCTCCTTATCCCCTCCCCCTAGTTGGGGCTTCAGTGATGGATGGTGCAAAGAGAATAAACCAAAAGCAAGCTATGAGTACAGTTGTCATTAAGATGCTCCATCTTAGTTTAAACAATAGTCTGAGTTTGAAAATACAATGTCAAGTTAAACTATGCTGTGTATCAGTACAGGAATAAGCAAATTTCCCTGGGTTAGAAGTCTTTAACTTCATTTTCTAACCTGCTGACATGCCACAGAAGGCTTTCTGAAGATGTGATATCACTTGAAGCGGTAGAGCTGGGAAGTTTTTTTTATATATATGTGCTCCATTTCAGGTTTAGGGGTTGGTCTGAGAATCTTAAGGACAGGAAGGCCTGGCGCGATATGATTCATGGGGTCACGAAGAGTCGGACACGACTTAACGACTGAA